CTTGGCTTTATCTGCGGATTATTATTAAGTATGTCGCGGGCTTCTGCCAGTGTAAAAACTCGACTAATACTGTGTATCGGGTTTTCTCCTTCGATATTTTCTTTTATTGTACGCATATCAGGCAGCGCCTTCACTTTGAGCCCCGCAAAGTCGCTTTCACCTGTTCAATTAAGTCCTCGCTTTCGACCAAAGACACTCTAGTTATTTCGCGATTTTGTCAGGTACGAGGTAGAGGAGGTCGAGTTTTTCTTTCTCACTTTTCTCGTCTAATTTACGGCACCGTTAAGACGGGCCGGAAGCCAGTGCAATCCGCGTAAAAATAATCGGGCTCGATCGCCAGTTTTATTTCCTCTTAGTTACATTGCAAATCCAGTGATCGTTAACTCTAATTATCATTAATTTACGACACGACGCAAAAGACGAGTTGTCCAGACTCGTCAGAAGTGACTTTGTACGAATCTCAATTTTTTTCTCTTTTCCCTTGACATAGTTCAGCCATCACTTTATCGGCGTATAAATGAAGCAAAAGCTCGTTAGAAATTTTTATGTTGTAAAAGGGGGAAAAATACATTCTCTCTCTCTCTCTCTCTCTCTCTCTCTCTCTCTCTGTCTCTCGAAAATTAACGCACTTCTGTTTTCAGTATAGGAGATTGACCTCATCGAAATTATACCGGTTTTGAACTCAGTGTCGCGGTGCAAGTTTTTCGATTGTTTGCTTGGAACAAAGCGCGATTCCCACCACTCGGGGAATCGACGGGATCGACCCGGCGACTTAAATCTGCGAGCCGCCGCGGCAGGAAAAATCTTTAAAAATGCCCCGACGAAAAAAGCGCGCATGTGCAGCCACGAGCCATCTCTCTTCCCTTGCTCCTCTTTCTCGCCTCCTACCACCGATGCGCTACAGTCCTCCCCGGCTTCGCTTTATGCGCTCCTCGCAGCCAAAACAAATCGTAAAGACGCCCGACGGAGTGCAATCCCATGCTTATTATCGAAAAATCAATGATATTCAGCACCGGCGACTTTTCTCACGTATTATACCGTTCGCAGTATCCTGCGATAGAGGAAGAATTTTATGTTTTTACGCCGTGTCTCTCTCTGTATCTCGTTTCACTAATAATACGTTGACATTTCCCAAATTACTCATATGCGAGATATGTTTCAAGAAAAAAAAAGACGACCCGACGTCAATTTTGCCAAAGGCATTATCGAAGCCGTTATCAAAATATCAACGAAAGAAGGAATAAAAGCTAGTCGTAGGTAGATTATTTGTGTCCGATTCCTTATCGATCTTTGTTCCTCTGAACAATTATGTGATTATGTATCTCCATTCTCTCTTCTTTTATTGGTAAGCTCGTGTAATTTCTACCAAGATTTCTTTCCGATTTTTGTTGATACAAGTGTTACTAGTCTATCCAAGTGTATCTCTTAATATCCTTACTCTGACTTGAAATGAGATATCGAGAAATATTGACTGATACGCAACAACATATGATATTTAAGATTGTCACTAAAAATAGTTTTGTCTGTTATGTTTTAGTTTCGAGTGAACGCGTGTTGAATGAAAGTAACAAAGTTTAATTTGAGTGATTAATTTTTTACGTCATTTTTTACTATCAGGATATATTTATAAGTTGTTGAAATAGTGCCCGGTGCTAGGATTTATAGCTCACCCTATAAGACTTGAATGATAAACCGGTCCGAGCGGACAAAACGTCATTCAGCAGAGATTCCCCGACATACATATTTCCCGTTCTAACCGTCTGTATAATAATGCAACACTGTTGAACAAGTATCTTTCACTTGCTGGCTGCTCTTATCGAATTTCGATGCAGATTCAAATTCCATTGGCAGAATTAATTTGAAAGTTGATTTTTCCATTATTGTGGAACAATTAAAAATTAACACACAACACGCACAGAATACACACTTTTTTTTTTCTATTTAGTCTATTTATATTATTTTACTAAATTTAAGCGATCATTTGTGTTTAAGTATTTGTATTATTGAAATCTTAAGCTTTGTGTTCGTTTGAGAATAACTCGTAAGCAAAGAGAACAAGGAAGAATAAAAGTTAGAACAACTCACCGTAACACTCTCCAATGATATATCCATTTGTAAGTGTAACTCTCAAGAGTGACTCTCGACGGTATTTCTTTCAAATGAACAGTAGCCGCTTGTCTTTATGCGATTTGTGAAACATAACGCGCATCAAAATCAACTTCGAGAGCTTACGATTGCTTAGTTGGTAAAGTTATAAGTAGATCGCGTCTCTCATTAAAGCTTGGTCGAACTGTAGCAAAACTTCAAGTTCGTATCAACGCTTGCCAATGTTTATCCACGCAAATGCAAGAGAAATCGAAAGAACAATCTGACATTTCTTTAATGCAATTTAGTATTAAGAACATTTCTTGAATAACTTGACACTGGAAAAGATTCTCACTATCTACGATGGAAAGAAAACTAATTTTTATCTTTGTTTCTTTTTTATAGTCTTTGTAAGTATTAATCTTTCGCGTTTGAATAATTTACCGAATGAAGTATTATTACTTATTATTACTCTCGTTATTATCACTGTGAATTATCGCATGGAATTTATAAAAAAAAAATTGTATTTAGGTAAATTGCAATTTTTTTTTCTAATTTCTTGCAAAAATCAAATTTTGGAGCAAACGAAAAAGCCATTACTTTATTCTAGTAATTAAACTTTTAGTGCCTTTTTATCTTAATTATCAATTACTTCCGTAAAATGCACTTGTGGCTTACAAAAACTTCTTGTGAGATTTCTTTTTACACGATATAGCTAATGACTTCCTGGATGCGAAGGAAATTTGGACGATTGCTCCGGGATTCTGGATGTAATTAAGTGTTACCGGACGGAGATTGAGTTTAATGAGACGTAGCGTCGCCTTGATAGCATAACTTAATGAATTTCTTGAAATAAATCGGCTTTAGAACTGATTAATGAATATATTGTAATTTTTCTAATGCAAGA